GCAAATAACTCCAGAACAAGGCAGCATTTGTTAAAAACATCCAGCCTTTAATGCCTAAGAGCTCACATTCTGGCAACGACTCTAGAGTTTTCTACAGAGAGAAGGGACAATGAGCCATGGCTTGTGAACTTACTGTGCGGCTCTTTCTGTCCCAGACAAGTTCCTGCTCTGGCCTGCTTATCACACCAGAGACACCTTGCCCAAACTTCCAATCTCATTTGCCTCAAAGTCCCCCCTCCACTGGCCCCCTCCACCCAATATTGCCTCCCTACCTAACTGTTAACTTGGGGCCCCACCCTCATATAGTGGCTCCATATTTTGCTTCTAGATACAGAGAACATGAGGCAGGGGTGGGATCAACTTAGGAAGGTTGCAATAAGGAATAAGGCATTTAAATATTGCCTTACAATAAAGATGTGTGCATTTCTCTGTGAGCCTACAATACATAGAACTCTGGGACTACATCTGTTCATCTTTGTGGCTTGACAGCCTTGCTCATTGTGGTACAGAGTGGGTGTTCAGTAGGTTTGTGGAATTGTTGAAATGGGTGTTACAAGCTCTGAGTAAAGATAATCCTATTTAAGAAGTACTTCCACATCTTCTGAGAGGTGCCCCAGAAGTATTCTATAAGGTTATTTTATTGAGCTATCCTAAGAAACAACCTAACCAGTAAGAACTAAAACATCTCAAATAAAGGAAGGCACCAATGCTTAAAATGCAAGTTTAAATTTTAAGATGATATTATTTTATAATTTTCAAAGTTTCTTTTCATTTGAATTTGACGTTCTATTTTTTAAATTGTATTTTATTGATTATATTATTATAGTTGTCCTGATTTCCCCCCTTTGCCCCTCTCCACCCAGCACAGCCCTCTCCCTCAGGCAATCCCCACACCATTGTTCATGTCCGTGGGTCATGCCTTTAAGTTCTTTGGCTACTCCATTTCCTATACTGTACTTACATCCCCATGGCTGTTCTGTAATTACCTATTGGTACTTCTTAATCCCCTCACCTCTTCCCCCATTCTTCCACACCTTCCTCCCATTTGGCAGCCATCAAAACGTTCTCTGTATCCATGATTCTGTCTCTGCTCTTGTTTGCTTAGTATGTTTTTAAGGTTCCATTATTGATAGATATGTATTTTTTTGCCATTTTGTTGTTCATAGTTTTGATCTTCTTTTTCTTAAATAAGTCCCTTTAACATTTCATATAATAATGGTTTGGTGATAATGAACTCCTTTAGTTGTTTCTCGTCTGGGATGCTCTTCTTTCTCTGCTGTTTGATTCTAAATGACAGCTTTGCTGGGTAGAGCAATCTTGGCTGTAGGTCCCTGATTTTCATGACTTTGAATATTTCTTGTCAATCCCTTCTAGCCTGCAAAGTTTCTTCTGAGAAATCAGCTGACAGTCTTATGGGAATTCCCCTGCAGATAGCTAACTTCTTTTCTCTTGCTGTTTTTAACATTCTCTTTTTATCTTTAACCTTTGGCATTTTAATTATGATGTATCTTGGAGTGGGCCTCTTTGCATTCATCTTATTGGGGACTCTCCATACTTCTAGGACTTGCATGTCTATGTCCTTCACCAAATTAGGGAAGTTTTCTTTCATTATTTTTTCAAATAGTTTTCCAATTTCTTGCTCTTTCTCTTCTCCTTCCAGCACCCCTATGATGCAAATGTTGAACCTCTTGAAGTTGTCCCAGAGGCTGCTTTTACTATCCTTATTTTTTGAGAGTCTTTTTTTTTCTTGTTGTTCTGATTAGTTGTTTTATGCTTCCTTATGTTCTAAATCATTGATTCAATTCTCAGCTTCATCCACTCTACCATTGTTTCCCTGTAAATTGTTCTTTATTTCAATTGGTGTATCCTTCATTTCTGACTAGATTTTTTTTTTATGCTATTGAGGTCCTCACTAAGTTCCTTGAGCATCCTTATAACCAGTGTTTTGAATTCTGCATCTGATAGATTGCTTATCTCCATTTCATTTAGCTCTTTTTCTGGAGTTTTGATCTGATCTTTCATTTGGGGCATGTTTCTTTGTCTTCTCATTTTGTCAGCCTCCCTGTGTTTGTTTCTATGTGTCAGGTAGACTGCTTTGACCACAGCTTCTGGCTGCATAAACCAGTGGGGATTGAGTTAGTGGAAGAAACTTCTGGAGCCTCAAGCAGTTCCTCTTAAAAAATCCACACACAGACTCGCCTACTCAGACTCACTCCCTCTGAGCTCCAGCACTGGGGTAGCAGGTTGAAAGGTACCAGTGGCACATAGGGAGGAACTGAAGTGTCTACCATCAAGGCAAGCATAGGCCATTGTCCCTTTTCTAAACCCTCCCCTGACAGAGCCAGCAAACAGGTGGTATATCTGAGACTCCATCAACATGACTAACACTGTTTGACTTGCCTGGGAGATCCCAGAGCCTCTGCCCCACCCAGCTTATGGGGCCCACCCAAGCTGCTTTTCCATATGAATAACTGGTCTTGGCTCATGCTTCACAGTTTTCTTAATCCTCTTAAACAAGCAACAGCTGGCCTCAGTGAGCTCCAGGCCTGGCATTAGCAGCAGCCAGCCTAGATTTATAGTTTGGCTTCACCTGGGAATCTCCAGGCCCAGTACAATTAGCAGCTATCTTAGATTGCTTCATAGCTCAGGCAGGGTGGCCCTGGGCAAAACATAGGTGGGGGCTGACCTTAGCCTGCACCACCTGGGAAACCCCAGGACCAGCATACCCCATGGACAGCTACACACCATGTTGGAGCACCACCACCCTGCCCCTGCACAGCTGATCTTCCACAGCGGGCAGAGCTTGGTGGTCAGTGGTCACAGCTAATCCTTGCAGCTGACTGGCCTGGGTAAATCCCTCCCATTGACCTGCCAGCAGCAACCAAGGCTCAACTACAAGAGGAGGGTGTACTCCGCCCACACAAAGACACAAAGGGCACACCTTGAGTACACAGCTTGGGTGATAGGGGAGGCTGTGCTGCTGGACCCTACAGAACACCTACTACATTGTATTTGATTTTTTAAAACTCTCTATCTGAAAATCCAAAAATAATCAAGAGATAAATTACAAAGCATGCCTTCCATTCCATACAGGATTCCCTTTGAATAGGCACTCCCTGAACTTATCTGAACTTTTAGATAAAGACTTGTGAGAAAGATGAGGAATTGAGAAACTTAAAGCTAAAGTGTTAGGATCTGCTTGTTAAAAACCCTGTTAAGTATTGGTGATGGGTACTTGTATGTGTGCTATGTAATTCTTAAAACTTGTCAATGTGTATGTTCACAACACACACACATGTTCATACCTGGGCAAAATCAAGCATGAGGCGATAGCTTGTCTTATAATCAGTAAGAGGTGCTGCCAGCAATAAGTAAGAAATTTTGGGACAGGTAAATCCTTCCTTAGTTCTCAGTTTCTTTGTATATAAAACAGGGGAAGGGACTAGATGGTCCCAGGAGCCCTTCCAGTTCTAATGTCTTAAGACTCTATGCAGCCCTGGCCAGGCAGGTCAGTTGGTAGAGCCTTGTCCTGATACACCAAGGTTCTGGGTTCAATCCCTAAACAGGGTGCATGCAAGAAACGACCAATGAATGCATAAGTAAGTGAAACAACAAATTAATATGTGTGTGTGTCTCTCTCCCTTTCTCTCTCAAATCAATTAATACATTTTTTGAAAAGAGTCTATGGAAGTAGAGGCACCTATTCATATTACAAAGGACCCCTTTCAAATTTTGTGTTTCTTAAATACATTTAAACTATGACTTGGTTTTCCAAAATCTGGCTCCTGTATTTTTATTATTAATAAAAGCAGCTAACGATTAAGCAAATTCAACATGTCAGGCACATAAAATGCCTTAGACAGATTATTTGATTCAGTCATCCCAATAACCAACCCCGTGAGGTGGATAATATATTGTCCCCATTCTGTAAAGAGGTAAAGTGGTTCCGTGACTGACTAACTGGCCTAAGGTCATTGAATTAGGAACGTGGCGACACTGGAATGAAAGCAATCGTCAAGTCAATCTGTGACTCCGGAACACATTGTTGACCCTGCACCTCCCGGACTGGCTGCAGATGTCGGGAGGTGTTCAGTGTCCCTTCCTTAGTTGGTAGCTGTGCTTCTCTGTGCCCTCCGCCTTCACAGATGGGGGGACTGATTGGAGATGGGGTGACTCCTTTCGCTTCAGCTTTATTTCTGTGACATGATGTGCCATACATATGTTCATGAAAAAATGCTTTTTGACCTTCCTTGGCTGAGGAACAGTGGGTGTCACTAGTTATCTTGAGACAGTTGTAAATGATCAAGTTAGCAGAAAAAGGGACCAATTTTGCTTTGAATTCCTATTTTGGTTCTTTACAGCTATTTTCTAACTCTACAACAACAAATGTAGCAAGATTTTACATTAGTTTGCAACAGATTAAGGTAAAAAAAAAGCCACATGCAGAAAAACAATGTAAGATGAATTTCACATCTGTGTGGCACACTTGATAATTTTCATATTCATTATTTTCACTTTCATAAGACTGTGTGGGGCTTGCAAGTCAGGAACTATTTTTACCCACTTGTCAAATAAGGAAAGAGAGCCACAGAAAGGGGTGGGCGACTTGCTTTAGGACATGGATCTGGTTAGATCCCAGACTTAGTGTTCTTTCTGCATTTGTTCTTTCTACATTATGCCATCTCCATGTGCGAAACAGAACTTCAGACTCAGGCACTTCTTGGCAGACAAAACCAAATGGCTGCCGTGCCATGCCAGGCTGGGGCTGGGGCTGGGGCTGGGGCTCCTGTACAACCAGCAGCTGTGCTAGAGCGTGAGGACGTGGCAGCAGCTGTGACCCCTGCTCATACCTGTGCAGTGTGATAAAGAAAGTAGAACTAGCCAGCAGCTGTGGTCCCACCAGATAAAACTTTTAGGCGGGAAGTCAAGTGACAAGTGAACTTGTATGTGTATGTGTGTGTGTGTTTTTAAGCTGTTGATTGCTTTTGATATTTTTAAAGAAGGCAGCTTGAGGAAGTCAGACCAAACAAGCAGGACGGTATTGCAGCAAGCAAGATGGATTTGGGAAAGAACCGATCTCATTTGACGCCCCGTCAGACATCGGACCTTCATCAAGAAGAGAACCACGTTCCAGGTAATGAAAGAGGTTGTAGCTGTTGGGAAGAATTGGGGCTAGGATTATATTCCTCTTTTTTTTATGGGAAAAGAAGGGCATGATTGAGTTCATTCATACAACCACAGGAGGGAAGAATCAGGGCTGTATAACTTCCTGAGGTGACTTCTAGTGCTAAGATTTTGACAAGCCAGAGAAACGCAAGGAAATAAGAAATACATTTAAATGAAAGAGAGTGAAAGTGCCCAATGCTGGATGGTTGTGGCAAAACAAGTATACCTGTATACTTCTGTGGGAGTGTAAATTTGGTATAATTTTCGGGAGGTATGGCAACAGGTGGCAATGCTTATTCTTCTGGGTCACTAATTTTACTCCCTGGGTCTATCCTAAAGCCGTGCTTCTCCAAATGTTTGCAGAATCCTAGGACTTGAGACAGTGTTTTATACTTTTTTTGGGCCATGGGTTCCTTTGGCATTTTGATGAACCCCTAAATTCCTTCTTAGAATAATACTTTAAATATACAAAAGTAAATACATAGGCTTACAAAGGAAAGAATTGAGATACACTTGTCAAAATGAAGAACGGTGGTATTGTGACATATTTGCACCTTTATAGATGCAGCAAATAACAAGACCCGAGGCGGACCTAATAATGATTGTATGAAATCAAGTGTACCACCTCAAATGATATAGTTGAGGTAACTGGAACAACTGTGATGTTATATGAAAAGAAAACCTGTAATTACTTTTGGTGACAAAGTCACACAATGCTAAAACCACCCTGGTTTGTTACCTACATTCATAGTGGAAGAAAATGGTGATTTTAATTAGAGAGTGGTAAAAATAAAGGTATGATTTTTTCCCATCCAAGTTCATCATTAACAACTTCTGTCCTAAGAACAAAAGGTACCATGATCCCAGGGGCATGCTTTATCTTTTGGGGGTCCCAGTGCAAATTCTCTATCACTCCACAGGTTCTGATAAATTTTACATCAAAGACCCACTCACTTTCCTCAGACACGGATGGGAGCAGAACATTTTTGACGATAGCTTTAATGTTCCAAAGAACTTGGAGAAGCACTATCCTATGGAAAAGTCTCCCTCCTCAAAGAAAGCTACATTCATGAGCATGCTTATTGTAGTTTGATTTAGTGGCAAAAAATAAAATAAAATAAGTGGCAACAACCTACATGTTCAATACAAATAGAGCAAATGGGTAAGTGAGAATACATCACCTTGATGAAGTATCGTGCAGCCAGTAACATTATAATTACGAAGACCAGGTCATGGAACATATTTCTGATACAATTTAGTAAGTGATAAAACTATCATATGCTCTCCTTACAATTTTGGGGAATATCAGAACTAGATGGGTATGAGGAATAACACAAAAACAGGTTATCATGTTAAGGATGGCAGAGCATGGTTGACTTTTTCTTTCAGTTTTGTACCATATGTAAAAATTACTTTGAAGGAATTAATAGGTCCATGGTATAGTTACATGCAAATACTGACATTTGCATTGTCCAACATTTACTGTTTGCTCCTGGGCATTCTTCGGTGGTAGAAGGATAAAGAAGGTAGAGTCCTCGTCCCCAAAAAGCTAGGGGAAGGTGGACACCCAGCACAGGGATCCTGCCACTCTGCCGGAGGGCTCTTGCTGGAAAGTGTCACAACTCGTCTGTCTCCTATAACTTCCATTTTGATCCCACAGATGTCATTGGAACTTGGAATTTGCGAAACAGAGAGCAACTCAGAAAAAGAAAAGCCGAAGCACAAGAAAAGCAAACTTCACAATGGCATTTTGGGTATGGTATCCTTGCAAAGGCAAAAGGAGCTGGGACTTATCCAGTAAACGCTGTGTGCCAAGTACTGCCGAGCACTTTCACACACTGTATTTTATCGTTCCAATGATCCTGTAGATCCAGAGCTGTTATCCCCATTTACAGAAAGAAAGAAAGAGAGAAAGAGAGAAAGAAAGAAAGAAAGAAAGAGAGAAAGAAAGAAAGAAAGAAAGAAAGAAAGAAAGAAAGAAAGAAAGAAAGAAAGAAAGCCAAGTGTCCAATGGGTTAAGTCTCTTACCTAAACTCACATAGCTAGTCAAGTGGTAGGAACGGAATTTTATCTCTGGTATCTTTTTAATTAAAACACCAGGCAATCAAATGACAGGGCCTGGCACAAATAACGCCCCTCTATTATCACAAAATCACAAGCATGTAATTCTGTAACATAACAATGTCACACTCAACCACACTGTATGACACTTTAGGTGAAATATTCAAATTGCTATCTCATGCGAGACATTCACACACCCTACCAACCACACTCAAGCAAGCGTTACTTCTGCTGGACCCTGTATATCAGGGGTCTCAAACTCATTTTCACCAGGGGCCAAATGTAGAGCTCCTTGCCCTAGTTAAGGAGTAGTTACATTTATTTAGTCCTAAAATTACATTCGGTCCATTGAAGGCAACTGCAAAGCTGATGTGGCCCCCAGGGAAAATGAGTTTGACACCCCTGCTGTATATTGTAGAGAGGCCTGGTGATCAAGCACCCTGGTAGTAGAGACACAGAAGAATCTCGTTGGGACACTACTGAGGAAATCTCTGAGGTTGTTCTCCAAGCTTTCTATCAGTAATCCTTATCGACTGGGTGTGATTAACTATGCATGGAGGAAACCAAAATATTGTAAATGAGTGACATGAGAGGAGAGTTGGGAATTCCTACATCTGCAGTCTAAGTTGCCTGTCTGTAGTCTCAGGGAGGGAGTACAGAACATATTTGTAAATTAAGTGGCATCAAACTACATCCATTTAGAATATGACCGTGAAAACAGAGGTGTTGCTTGCCTGGAGATGGAAAGAGGGAAGTCAGGAGCCAAAGAGCACAGCATCCATCGAAGCCAGGCTTTCTGCACCTCGGCACGAATGACGCTGTGGGCAGGGTGCTTCTTTGTGTGAGCAGCTGTCCTGTGCATTGAGGATATTTAGCAGCATCTCTGGCCAACAGTACTCCCCCTAGTTGTGACAACCAAAAATGTCAACAGGCATTGTCAAATGTCTCCTGGGGCAGGCAGAGAGGGGGCAAAATCGCCCCCAGATGAGAACCACCGATATAAGCACTCTTCTGAAGAAAGGGCATCTGTGCCAGACAGGACTGACTACTGTCTTTTCTGCTGCAACCAGGGAGCGCACATGTGATTGACAAATAGGAGAATATGTCAATAGAATGCAGATGCTGATTTTTGCTAGTCACAGGAACCAGAATAGCGGGAATAGAACTAAAACCTTTAGCAAGAAAGGAAAAAGCATTCAGCCTGGCTGCTCTATAGGAAGGATCCTTTTCAGCTGCATCCACGGCTGTTCCCCAGGAGAAGGGTGGCAGGTTGCACTTCCTTCTGTGCCCAACTTCACGGCGGCTCCCCTGGCTCAGAGTGCCACTCCTATTTGCATGATCTCTGCACCTGCAAACCTGCACTTAAACACTGTTGCTTGTGTGCATTTTTTACTAGTCCCCGAGGCAGCCCCCGAGGCAGCCTCCAGACAAGATAACCTACCTGTCTGGACCAGGCAAGTTATCTCATGTAACAGTTACTGTTTTTGCTAGTGTTAAAAAGTTGTACAGGTTTTGAGTCATCTGCCCCAGCTCTACTTTTCCCACACAAGTACTGTTACTTCTAGTGCATGATTTTTCAGAAAGTGAGGTTTTTCAGGAATGTGTTTATTACGTTTCAGCAGAAACATCTGTACTTGGGTCCTGTGGCAGGAGACTCTGTTGAAGAGTATCCTATCAGCTCCCATAACTCTATACCTGCCAAGCAACCTTCTGATCATTCACTGGCCTCCCGAGTACTTGCTACAGAGAAAGAGTGAATTCATTTGTCAGCCCAAGTATTCTTTGCTGTGTGACTTTGCATTTCTCCCTGTTTATTTAAAAATGGGTGTTTGTTAGGTCTCAGAAGGGAGGGAGGATGAAAGGGACTGCAAGAGATCGGCCAGAGGACATGTGTGCATATATGCCTAGCCCGTGGGCACAGACAACAATGTGGCGAAGGTGGCGGGGAGGCTCGGTGCAGGGGGCAAAGGAGAGGAAAATGGGGGATATCTGTAATAGTGTCAATAATTTGTTAAAGAGAAGATAAAATAAATATAAAGTTTTCTAGAAAACAAGAAAAGGGTTTACAGATCGGTCTCCTTGAGCTGGTTGATGAGCTCTGCCCTGATAATTGGAGCTTGTCTCAGCGTGATCACAGAACTGGGTTTCTCTGCTTGCCCAGCTGGGGAGCCCGCCGAGGCGGAGGAAGTCACTGAAGTAGATAACACCTTGGCGAGCCTCTTGGCAGCTGGCTGGTCCTGCTCTGGTGACACATTTCTGTGCTACTGAGAGCTGTTCTCTTGACCTCATGCCGCACAGTGAAACCTCAGTAGTTCCAGAGAGGAATAGCGGAGCGCAACGGCTAAGCGCCTGGCTGGTGGAGCCATAATGACCACATTGGATGCGTGGCTCCCCCGCTTGCCAGCCGTTCCATCTTAGATGATTTACTCACTCTCTCTGGGCCTCAGTTTTCTCATCTGCAAAATGAAGATAATAGTACCTTGTGAGTTGATGTGAATAACGAAATTACTGAAAAAGTGATTGGTACATAGGAAGCACTATAAGTGATTCCTCTATGAATATACAAGTGCTAACTTTATGTTTGGATAATTCACTCATGCAATTCTTACACCCACCCCGGGAGGTTGGGGAGATACCATAACTCCATTTAACCTATGAAGGAACCAAGGCATAGAGAGGTTAAGTGACTTGCCTATGATCACATAGTTGATAAATGACAGAATACAGATTAAATTTTGGACCACAGGGATATTTTTGCATCTCTTGAAAAACTACCAGGAAGAACATGAACATTGTATTACTCAGATTTCCTCATTTAGAGATCTACTTAACAAATTATTTAGGACTTAATATGTAGGGAAAAAAGTATTTCTTAAAGAATTCAGATAATTGAACAATAAGGACTTTATAATTTATCTTGTTACCTTGGTTACTTGGAGTTACACTTCAAAATGCTGAGGTGTCATATCACCATTTTTAGATTATCTTTTCTTCTAACTTATTTTTAATGTTTTGACTGTCCTATTACCAGTATTTTGCCATGTACAATGTGTACTTTCTGCCCAACTTCTTTAGGAAAAAATAAGGATGCGCATTATACATGGGTATAATGATTACACACCATGCATGTAAGAATCTGTGTATAATGTGCACCAAAAAGCGGGTGTGCATTATACACAGCAAAATATAGTACCTATATAGCTGTTTTATATTACTTTAAATTGGTTTTGGTGAGGTAATCTTTACATTATTTTTACTATGAAGAATTTCAAACATACACAAAATAAAGTATACATACATTTAAATTTTTTAAAAGATTTTATTTATTTTATTTATTTAGAGAAGGAAGGGAGGGGAAGAGAGAGAGAGAGAGGGAGAGAGAGAGAAACATCAATGTGTGGTTGCTGGGGGCCATGGCCTGCAACCTAGGCATGTACCCTGACTGGGAATCGAACCTGTGACACTTTGGTTCGCAGCCCGCACTCTATCCATATATACATTTTTAAGGTGTGAAAGGACCTATGAGCACTACAAAGATATAAAAGACACTGCTTTTGTCCTGGCTGGCTGGCTCCGTTGGTTGGAGCATTATCCTGCACACCAAACGTTTGCGGGTTTGATCCCTGGTTCAGCGCATATGGGAGGCTGCCGATCGGTGTTTCTCCCTCACACTGATGTCTCTTCCTCTCCTGGCTCCCTCGCCGCCCACCCCCCACCGCTTTCTCCCTCTCTATAGTCAATGAGCATATCCTCAGGTGAGGATTTAAAAAATAATAAAAAATAACAAGACATTGGTTTTATCACTAAAGAATGTCTAATTTATGAAAAAGAAAAAAAGAAGGTTTCTTTGACATAACTACCGATTGGGGCAGCCTCTGTGCCTTGCCTTGGGCACGATCCTCCTAATAAATCACACGGACACACTGAGCAGGGAGAGCATTTCAGCCCTGTGGTCTGTGAGAGAAGGCTCCATGGGGCGGGTAGTGTGGGACAGAATTTCAGTAGATTTGGAAAAATGATGAAGGGCTTATTTATAGTACCTTTTCCCCCCTCCCCACCCTGAGCCCATCTGTATTAGCCATCTGTATTTGGTTATATTTGCAGCACCTAGCAATTTGACGTTGGCGGCAGTTTCCACGCGTGACCTTTCATCTCTTAGATCTTTAGCTGTTACTTCAGAGTAGGCACAATATGGCCAGGCATGCCTTTCCACGAGGCTTGTTAACCTCAAGAAATGCTTTTTTACAGCTTTTGACCCAGCTTACAGCATATCTCACTGGATGTGTATTGTAAGTACTTAGCATTTTTTACACAAGACACTGTGTTAGATAAGAAGGCCACATATATCATCCACCCGTGGGCTACACAGACAAGGAGTGGTGTCTGGACTGAGGGTTTTAGAACCGCAACTGTGTGAGTTTCCCCAGGGCACAGTGGGACTAACTCACCCAGGCTAAACCCAGAGAGATTAGGGCATAATGCTCTCAGACACACACACACTGCACTTCCTGGTGAGCAAGGCGCCAGAGACAAAAATTCCCCGAGGGGCATTCCCTCTCCTGACAACTGAGAACATGTAGCACTGCTCCTTCGTTTTGCAGACAAGGAGACTGAGGCCCAGAGAGATGAACTGACTTGTGCAAAGGTCGTGCAACAGAACAGTGGGAGTCCCAGACTGTTACTACCACACATTTATCTGAATTCTGTAGCCCCATCACTGACACTAATTCTGATCTCTCCACAGAGAGAGAAGACACAAGCGGCAGAGAACAGGAAAAGGAAATCAAAGAGGCAGAAAGAGACAACACGATACAGAACTGAGGGTGGAGCCTCAATCACAATTAGAAAAGGAAATGACGGAGAGAGCACTAGCACCTGCAGAGAAAGAAAATGAATTACCTAGGAGTGTAACGGAAGCTCTCTGTCTGGTAGCTTCCCCACAAAGAGTTGTACCAGAGAAAACATTTTCTGCAACAGGTCAAGAAAGCATGATAGATCAGGAAAATTCTTCTGAGTGCCAAGAAACAACAGTACAGAACCACCCTTCTGAAATAGGCCAAGAGGAGGCTGAACCAGGAGACTTCTCTCCTAAAATGTGCCAAGAAATAGCTGTAATTCAAGACCATTCTTCCAAAATGTGCCATGATGTGGCTGAACCTAAAGACCTCTCTCCTAAAATGTGCCAAGAAACAGCTGTACTTCAAGACCATTCTCCCAAAATGTGCCATGATATGGCTGAACCTGAAGACCTCTCCCCTAAAATGTGCCAAGAAACATCTGTAGCCACAGCCCTTCCTTCCAAAACATATGAAGACAGAGCTGACATGGAAGGACACTCTCTTGAAGCATACCCCGAACCAGATGTGCCTAAAGGCTACGCTCTTGTTTTATACCAAAAGAAAGCTGAACCCAAGGAAGACACTGCCGAACCAGGTCAAGGAAGAGCTGGGACTGAAAGTTTTTTTCCTAAAACACAACAAGAAATAGCTGTGCCTAAAAACCTTCCTGCAAAAATATACCATGAAACAGTTGAACCTGAACAGTATTCTCATAAAGCATATCCTAAAGAAATTGCTGTGCCTAAAGCCCTCTCTCATAAAACAATCCAAGAAATGGCTGCTCCTGAAGAATGTCCATCTGATACATGCATACACCAAGATACACCTGGGCCGGAAGACCTCTCCACCAAGACATGTAAAAATAAAGAATGCGTTCCAGAAGCAAACCAAGAAGCAGGTGGGCCCCGAGGCCAGCATCCTAAAGCACAGCAAGAAGATGTTAAGGATGTTTTTCCTTCAGGTAGGGGATATGCATAAGTGGCAAGTCAAGGGCATGTTCCCATTCATAATTAGAGCACCAAATAGGTATGCCTCCCTCAAAGTGATGCTTTATATCCTTCAATTGTCCTAGGTTATCCCCAGTTACCTCAAGGGGTATCATTAATGTCATTGGCTAGTTTTTAACTTAACCAATGTGCGTGTGGCATATTTCCAAAGAACTAAAAAGCAAATAATTGAAAATATAAGTGCATATGGTAGGTACCTGTTCACACTACCCATCTGGGCAAGCTTTAGTCAGCTAGTCAGTGAAGGAAAATGAACCCAGTGTCAGATGATTGTGTGCAATATATTTTCAGGGATAATTAAGTTTAGATTGACCAGAAAACTTGAATCAAGTTTTTCTCAAAAATTAAAATTTCCTGGCAAACAAAAGGGAACTACATGCATGGCATAAGTTACTGAGGGAGTTAAAAAGGTGTAAAATATGATCCCTGTTAATAGGATGTACCACGTTTACCAGAAACCCTTTCTATTTCAATATTTGTTCGGGCAAAGCTTTCTCCTAAGCATAGCATTTTGAAAACAGTGTGACCTTTCTTCAGTGGGAGTTGCCTCAGGGACATAACTGAGAATCTCGTAGGTGCTGTAAAGTGTACTCTCAGAAAATAGGTGAGGCTGTCAGAGCACAGTTATCTCCAGGGAATTGTTTTCTAAAGAAATCTCTTTGATAGTTTATTTGCTCTCTTCTCCTAAAAGAAAAGGGCAGCAAAACCATGGGGTTAGTAGGGTTCCAAGTAAATGTTGAAAAAATCTTTACCTGCCTGCTATGTTAAAAAAACACCCTAATTGTTTTAATTTCTGCTTTTTTGATGACTGATGTTACTTGACATCTTTTCATGATTATTACGAATTTGAGTTTTTCTTTTGAGAACTGCCTGTCTGAATCCTGGTTTCATTTTAAACTTGAGATATTGATCTTTTTGGACTCATTAAAAGTCTATTTAAATAATAGTTGTTAAACCTTTACCTATATGTACATTGTAAATAATTTTCCAGTTTCTGTTTGTGGTTTACCTTTGTTTATAGAGGGTTTTGCTATGTATGTGGCAAAATTTTAATTTTAGTTTTTAGTGGTTCAAACCTGTCTTTTTCTTTATGGTTCCTGCTCTGGGTTCTGCTTAGAAAGCCCTTTATAATCCTAAGATTATAGGAACATTCTGTTGTTTCCACAACATTTATGGTATTTTAATATTTAAATCTTTAATCTGAAATTTCTTTTTGTGCAAGGTGTGAGGTAGTTTTTTCCCCTCCCAATGGACAGTCAGTTGTCCCAATACCAGTTATTGAACCTATTTCTGTATTTTGTTTGATTTTCCAGAAATGAAAGGACAACCCAAAGCACAAGAACCAGAGATACCATCAATTCCAAATCTTCCTCGAGAGATACATCCAGAAAATGACGTCTATAGTTATGTTTTGTTTTAGCAGTGCTCAGCCATCACAGTTTTGCAACAAAATACACATCATTATATGTGATTTTCTCACATTATTGTAGAAATCTCTACAACATTCATTAATATTTGAGTAGTGGGTTTTTTTTCCATGTATAGCCCATATCTGAAAGAGAGCACTAATGTGTTTTTCAGGCTCGACCACATCGACAACATCCTGCAGTGTGTGTGCATGTGTATGTAGATTGGGGTGAGGAGAGTGATGGGGAGACTCAAAATGGGAAAGGGGAGGGCTGAATAGTATCCCCTAATAGCAAACGTTTCTTTGGTTATTCCTTATGAGCAGAAAAGTTAGTGAGTGTGAACACTTAAAATTTGGATAAGTATATAGTTTTCCTGTCAACTGTGTTCGACTGTTAATGGAATAATAGCATCAACATTTTATTCAGGCTTTTGCTGGCTTTCTAGTTAATTTGAACAATTCTTATCATTCTGGGGCTCCCTCAAAGGTATTTTGGAGTGTTGAATGTAGTTTACTTGCGTATTTGAGTTTCGATTTCCTAGTTTTACTTTTTATATATTGTATTTGTGAAAAATGTACATTAAATCATTATTACATGCTTAATGAACTGTGTGGACCACATCATGGTAAGCATTTTGAGGATTAGAAGACCTATAACATAGTCCTTGCTGACCAGGGGTTTAATCTAGTCTTATGGGGAAATAAAACAGAGAACAAATAATTACAAAAAAAATAGTAAGTGCTAGTGCCATTTGAACAGTAGATACACTAAAGGGAATGCTTACTTTTTGCTGAGTGACCTGAAAAAATTACACGAGTGGGACCTTGGGAGATGGAGAGGATCTGCATTATCGGTGAGGATAACAGCATTGTATGTGACACAGAGGAGGGAATTCAAGCACTCTGCACGGTCAGTTCATGCAGGGTCCGTGTGGAATAGCAGGCTTGTGAGGTGAAAATCTTGTATTATTAGAGTGTATGGAGTGTATTATTGGAGTATTTCACTTATTTGTTAGGATATGGGGAAATAAGTAAGACTTTCGAACAATGAAGTGGCAGTAGTTAGTATTTTAGTATCTGGCGATAAGGGTCAGGATTAATTAAGAATGACCAGAGGCTGGGGCCAGGAGCAGGAACTATTCTAGGTAGAAAGAGGTCTGAAAACCTCCAGGTACAGTCCTGGCTGGTGTGGCTCAGTGGATTGAGTGCGGCCTGTGAACTGAAAGGTTGCTGATTCAATTTCCAGTCAGGGCACATGCCTGGGTTGTGTGCCGGTCCCTGGTTGGGGGCATGTGAGAGGCAACTGGTGGATTCTCTCACACACCAATGTTTCTCCCCCTCTTTCTCCCTCCCACCCCTCTCTAAAAAGAAATAATTTTTAAAATTCTCCGGGTAAATTTTGCAGGTGTTTGAGGGTATTGTTTCAGTTTCCCTTCTGTTGTAACAGAGAACTCAGAGAAGATTCCTACAGATAAACTTTGGTTCAGCAAGAGCACAATTGTGCAAGCCCTCCATGTAGGCCTTGTGCTAGGTATGGGGCTACTGTGAAGAACAAGACAATCCCAGTCTCTCAAGCATTCATGGTGTAGAACAGTGGTTCTCACCCTCCTGTTATATTAGAGCCACTGGGGAAGATTTCAGAGTTGCACATGCTCAGATACCTCCCTGGGGTTTCTGTTCCTTTGTCGAGGGTGACATCCAAAGACAGGTATATTTATTTATTTTTTAAAGATTTTATTTATTTATTTTTAGAGAGAGGAGAAGGGAGGGAGAAAGAGAGGGAGAGAAGCATTGATGTGTGGGAATCAATTGGTTGCCTCTCAAACACCCCCAACTGGGGGCCTGGCCTGCAACTCAGGCATGTGCCCTGACCGGGAACCAAACTGACAACCTTTCGGTTTGCAGGCTGGCCCTCAATCCACTGAGCCACACCAGCCAGGGCAGGTACATTTATTTTTAATTGCTTTTGATTTAAATAATTTTTGAGGAATAATTTTAGAATTCCAGAAAAGTGAAAATAGTACAGATGTTTCTGTATACCTCTCACCCAGTTTGCCCTAATTTAATATCTTACATAACCACAGTCCATTTATCAAAACTTATGAAACTAAGGTTGTTATATTACTGTTAAGCAAAATACAGATATTATTTAGATTTATTTCTTTTTTTAACTTTTTCTTTTTTAAAAATATATTTTATTGATTATACTATTACGGTTGTCCCACTTACTCCTGTTTATTCCCCTCTGCCCTGCACACCCTCTCCCACCCACATTCCCCGCCTTTAGTTCATGTCCATGGCTCTTACATATAAATTCTTTGGCTTCTACATTTCCTACACTATTTTTTTATTTTCCTCCTGTCTATTTTCTACCTACAATCTATGCTACTTATTCTCTGTACCTTCCCCCACTCTCTCCTCCTCCCACTCCCTGGTAACCCTCCATGTGATTTCCATTTCTGTGATTCTGTTCCTGTTCTAGTTGTTAGCTTAGTTTTTTTTTTTGTTTGTTTGTGTTTTTTTTAGGTTCAGATGTTAATAACTGTGAGTGTGTTGTCATTTTACTGTTCATATTTTTTATCTTATTTTTCTTAGATAAGTCCCTCTAACATTTCCTATAATAAGGGCTGATTGATGATGAACTCCTTTAACTTGACCTTATCTGGGAAGCACTTTATCTGCCCTTCCATTTTAAAAGATAGCTTTGCTGGATAGAGTCATCTTGGATGTAGGTCCTTGCCTTTCATGACTTGGAATACTTCTTTCCAGCCCCTTCTTGCCTGAAAGATTTCTTTTGAGAAATCAGCTGACAGTCTGATGGGCACTCCTTTGTAGGTAACTGTCTCCTTTTCTCTTGCTGCTTTGAAGATTCTCTCTTTATCTTTCATCTTGGGTAATGTAATTATGATGTGCCTTGGTGTGTTCCTCCTTGGGTCCAACTTCTTTGGGACTCTCTGAGCTTCCTGGACTTCCTGGAAGTCTATTTCCTTTGCCAGATTGGGGAAGTTCTCCATTATTTGTTCAAATAAGTTTTCAATTCCTTGCTCTTCCTCTTTTCCTTCTGGTACCCCTATGATTGAGACGTTGGAACATTTAAAGATGTCCTGGAGGTTCCTAGGCCTCTCATCATTTTTTTTTTTTTGAATTCTTGTTTCTTCATTCTGTTCTGGTTGAATATTTCTTTCTTCCTTCTGGTCCATACCCTTGTTTTGAGTCGCAGTTTCCTTCCCATCACTGTTGGTTCCCTGTACATTTTCCTTTATTTTGCTTTTCATAGTCTTCATTTTTTTCTCTAATTTGCAACCATATTCAACCAGTTCTGTGAGCATCCTGATTACCAGTGTTTTGAACTGTGCATCTGCTAGGTTGGCTATCTCTTTGTCACTTAGTTATATTTTTTCTGGAGCTTTGATCTGTTCTTTCATTTAGTCCTTTTTTTTTTGTCTCAGCATGTCTGTTATGTAGTGAGGGGCGGAGCCTTAGGCGTTCACCAGGTGAGACAACCCACGTTGCTGCGTTGCGATGCTGTATGTGGGGGAGAGGTCTGAGAGAGAACAGTGCTGTTTGCTCCGCTCTCTGCCGATTTTTAGTCACTTTCCCCACTACCCACAGACAAATCGGGCCCTTCTGGTGCTGATTCCTGTGTGGGTGGGCTTGTGTACATTCTTGGACCCTCTGGGTCTCTCCAACAAACTCTCTTGTGAGACTGGGAGTTTCTCCTGCTGCTGCCTCAACCCCGACGGGTGTTTTCAGTCAGAGGTTTGAGGCTCTATTTCACCACACTGGAGCCCTGGGTTGTGCAGTCTGTCTCGCTCTCCAGTTGTTCCTCTCAATTTATCTGCAAGTGAATGTGGGACCGCCCAGCCTGCAAGCCACTGCCTCCCCTGGTTCTCCAGCCGCTGCCTTGCCGTGAGTCCTCTCCACCCACCTGCCTATTTCCACCTCTCCTATCGGTTTGGATGAATGTTTCTTCTTTAACTCCTTTGTTGTTGGACTTCCATGCAGTTTGATTTTATGTCAGTTCTGGTTGATTTTTATTTTTAAATTTGTTGTCCTTCTTTTGGTTGTGTGAGGAGGCACAGTGTGACTACCTATACCTCCATCATGGCCGGAAGTCAGTCTGTCTATTTAGACTTCATTAGTTTTTCTATTAATGTCCTTTTTCTGCTTCAGGATCCAATCTAGGATACAACATTGCATAGGGTATTTTAAAAGCTATCCAGACAATTCTAATGTGCACCTAGAGGTAGGTTTGAAGACCATTGGTATTGTGGGAGGTTACAATGCTATTTGCCTCCTATTTGCTACACCCTCGCTGGCAAACTTTAAAATTCAACCCCCCAGGATATGTTAATTGTACAATAATCCTCATACCCCATTATATTACTCAAGTGACACTGAGGGCAGCATATTATATCATGTGATAGTCCTTTATATCTTCATGGCACTTAAGAATTTATACTTTCAAATATACTCCTTAATTTGAGCTGTATGAGAATCTGAAATAGGCTGGGCAATTATTATCAGCCCATTTTCCAGATGAGAGGCTAATCTCAGAGAGGCTGGGCCACTCACCCAAAGTCACATCTAACTGCCTCAGTGCTTTTCATGATAGTGCTCAATCTTTGGAAATTTTGTCTCAATTTCCCCTGCCAGAATGGTCAAGATTAGAGGAAAAGGAGTGAACTGAAATCTCAAGTTCTATCTAGCATTGCTTTAAGAGGAACCTCAAGAGACTTCCATGTATACAATGTACAGGGGAACAAGGATGGGGAAGGAGAGAGAATGAGGCATTTAGTTCATTAGAGGGAGAAGGGATTTTCTCTTTTTCCCTTTTAGGACCCTTTCTGCCTGCCCTCTTTACTCCCTATTTACATACAACCTCTGTTTTCTCACTCTTATTCAAACACCAGGGAGCATCTGCATATTTCCCTTTTTTTGTCTTGGCTTAGAACCTTGAGGTCACAGTCAGAATTAAAGTTTTATAAGAACTTATCTAGCCCTACCTTGTGCTACCCTCCTTTCAGGGTAAGTACAATGGTTGTTCTAAAAACAAAACAAAATAAAACAAAACCAAAACTGAAAACCATGAGCCTTATATTATTAAATCTAACATGATGAAATGAGAAGGTCCAAAATGTTACTTGATTTCCAAAGGGATCCTCCACTCAAGTGAAAGCTGGAGTCATTATACCAAAGTGTGTTTCAGCCTGCAGGCTATGACCACCTCGATTAGAATCATTTAGGTTGTTTTTTTAAGTCAGATTCCTAAGTCCTACCTCCAGAGAAAGGATTGTCTTACAAACTACAAATAATCATATATGTAACTCTAGACAGGATATATAACTCAAATCATATATTAAAAGTGCTATATATTTAAGTTCCTGTTTTACATAGAGAAATTTTACCTTTAAAAGAGGTAGCAATCTATTCCATCTCCAAGTCTGTTTTGCATTTCAGTACTTGTCACACTTGGTAACTAACGTACTTTTTGTGTGATTGTCATAAGATATGAGATCTATGGCCAGGAAGACAAATGCCTCTAGTTTTCTACACTGTTCTTTCCACAAATTCATATTGTCACTTTCCACAGCACCACCATC